AGAAGAAGAAGAAGAAGAAGAAGAAGAAGAAGAAGAAGAAGAAGAAGGTGGAGGAGGAGGAGGAGGGAAGGATGATGTGCTGATATTGATATGTATACCAATCACGTAAATCGGATTAACGTAGTAACTTTCACTTGTATTCATATTACTTTTATTTTATTTATTTAGTTTGTCAAGCATGTATGAGAAAACAAGCATAAAGTATGAACATCATGTATAAACGTAGAAGTATAAACGGTTATAAGTATATACAAAATAAAACTAGTAGGAATAAATGGGAAGTGTAGGGCAGGGAGTGATACTCAGGAACCACCCCCCCCCACACACACACAGTCCCATGAAATGATATTGATGCATGTTTAAAAAAACCAAAAAAACTTTACTACTACTACAGCAACAACGACAACAACAACAAAGAGCCGGCCGCTGCTTCGCGCTTCCTCCAGCGGCCCGACAAGCGCTCGGGGTTGAGCCGGGACAGGAGGCGGGGATCGGGGGCTGGCCGAGGGCGGCGCGTCCGGAGAGGGGGAGCCCGGCTCGCCATCGCCCCGTCCGGAGCGGCGCGGTCGTTGTGCGCGCAAACCGGCGGCGGCGGCGGCGATCATCATGCCTGGCCGTCGGAGCGGCGCCCTGTCGGAGCGGAGCCCTTTGCTGGCTTACCGGCTGTGCAGCAGCTCCTCGCTGGAGGCGGACGAGGCGGCCCCGACGGCGTCCCGCAAGCTCTCCACCTTCCTGGGCGTCGTGGTGCCCACTTTGCTCTCCATGTTCAGCGTGGTGCTTTTCCTCCGCCTGGGTGAGCCCGCCAGGGAAGCCTCGCCAAGGCACCGGGGAGGCGGCGGGGTGGGTGGGAGAGAGAGAGAGAGAGACACCCGAGCCCGCCTCGCCGACCGACCGCCCGACGGGCCCCGGCAGCGGCGGGACCCAGCCTGGAAAGGGCAGCCAGAGGCGCGCGCTGCGGTGGTGGCGGCGGGGGAGACTTTGAGCCTCGGTGACTTTTGTGAGGCGGTGCTTGTAAGGGCTTCGGGCCCGGGGGCCGAGGCAGGACTGAGGGAGGGGGTTGGGGTGGTGTTCCCGCTGGTTGAGCGTGTCGTGTGAATGCAGGTTGGTTAACCTGGGGACGGGGGGGTGGGTGGGGGTGGCAGGTTCAGCATGTCGTGTGAATGCCGCCTGTTTTTTTATCCCGGGAAGGAGAGTTTTAAGCCGTGTTGTATGAATGCAGCCTGGTTATGCTGGAAGGAAAAGTTAAGCTGGCATGTGAATACAACTTGGTTGTCCTGGGGGTGGGGGGAAAAAAATAATCAGCGTGTCATGTGAATGCGGCCTGGTTATCCTGAAGGGCAGTTTTAAGCTTTGGTGTGGCCTGGTTATCCCGAGGGCTGGGGAGGCAGTTAAGTGTGCTGTGGAAAGGAACTTGGGTTATCCTGGAAGGAAAGTTCAGTGTGTCGTGTGAATGCAGCCTGGTTATCCTAGAAGGAAAGTTAAGCTTTGGTGTGGCCTGGCTATCCTGGGTGGGTGGGGGGAGTGAAGTATGCTGTGTGAATGCAGCCTGGTTATCCTGGAAGGAAAGTTCAGTGTGTTGTGTGAATGCAGCCTGGTTATCCTGGAAGGAAAGTTAAGCTGTCATGTGAATACCATTTGGTTATCCTGGAAAAAAAAAAGTTCAGCATGTGAATGCAGCCTGGTTTTCTCTTGGAAGGAAAATTTAGTGATTTGTGTGAATACAGCTTGGTTATGCTGGAAAAAAAAGTTAAAGTGGCTTGGTTCTCTTGGAAGGAAAGTTAAGTGGTTCATGTGAATGCAGCCTGATTGTCCTGGAAATAAAGTTAGGTGTGCCTATGAATGGCAGCCTAGTTATCCTGGAAGGAAAGTTAAGCATGTTGTGTGAATGCAGCCTGGTTATCCTGGGAGGAAAGTTAAGCATGTTGTGTGAATACATGCTTGGTTATGCTGGAAAAATAATTCAGCATGTCGTGTGAATGTAGCCAGGTTATCCTGGAAGGAAAGTTAAGTGCGTTGTGAGAATGCGGCCTGGTAATCCTGGAAATAGTTAAGCTGTCATGTGAATACCGCTTGGTTATTTATCCTGGAAGGAAAGTTAAGCGTTTCCTGTGAATGCAGCCTGGTTATCTTGGAAGGAAAGTTAGGTGTGTTGTATGAATGCAGCCTGGTTATTGGGGGCGGGGGGAGTTAAGCGTGTTGTGGGAATTCAGCCCAGTTATTCTAGAAAGCAACTCGTATCTTTGCAAAAAAAGAGGGAAGTTCTGGGACTTCATAAGATATCAACTCTTTTGGCCTTTGCTGGGTGGTTCTTGGATAAACCAAGAATGAACTTTCTGACATTGGCATCTAGGTAGCCATATCATCCTGGTTTGTTGGACAGGGTTGTTTTAAAGACTGTCAAAGTAAGTCAGTAAAGAGGTAGAGTTAAAAATGCCGCCTGGGGAATTCTGGGAGTTGAATTCCACCCGTCTTCAAGCTGCCAGGATTGGAAAAAAACGTTATTCTAAAGGCCTGGAATCTAGGATTAAGGTGACAGCTAAATCCTGGCTAATAAAATAAAAATGCTAGGCCTTTGGAAAAGGCGGCTAACCTTGCCAAGCTTGCCAGCCAATCCTCCAATTTCAACTGGGAGGCTTAAAGGAATCGTGAATAATAAATTAGTTATTTATTAAATTTATATCTCACCCGTCTCCCCCTCTAGGCAGCTTACAGCAAAACTTTATTTTTCCAAACATTTTCCCTGCCTTTGGCAAACAGACCAGTTAGGGAGAAAGTTAAAGGGAAAAAACCCTGATTCCCTGAGAAGGTAGATTTTCAAAAGCATGATTGTTTGTTCGGGAGGGCAAATCGGATGATTCATTTTAAGTACAATTTTCCCATTTCCAGGATATAAGTCAGACAGTGGCGTATTGGGAATTGGATAATCTTTTACCTTCAGGGCACATGTCTCACGCTGACTTATAATTAACTGGAGTTACTAACATAATCACTTCGTTCTTGGAATGGCCTCTGACTGAATAGCTATGTAATTTTAAGCCAGCCAGGAATTGGACGAAATGATCTCCAGGATCCTTTCCGATTTATACCTTCTGCGAATATTAGAGGGCCTTTAAATCAGCCTTCCCTTAATTACACCAAATGCAAATACTCTCATTCTCGCAACATGTTTAACCTAGCTGTTGAATTAACCCATATTCTACACTGCCTCAGTGCTTAACGAAGTAAATGAGTTTTCGGTCATTAAAGCCACCATATCACAAAACAACAATAACAACTACCCCTAACTCACTTTGGTTAATCATCATTAACCAAAAATTGGTATGTTATGCGAATGCAAGCCTTTAGGACAGGGGTGTCCAACCTTGGCAACTTTAAGACTTGTGGACTTCAACTCCCAGAATTCCTCAGCCAGCTGGCTGAGGA